TTCGTTCATAGCGCTCCATGCCTATTTCATGCATATACCACATACTTACACACTTATAATAAGTAAGTTACTTTTTGTCTACACTAGAATTTATCTAGAAACTAGAAATAATTTATAAGGCAAAACAACGTTTGTCGGGTTATCTAGTATTAATATAAGTCAAAGATACATTATTATGCTATTTTAATCTATATAGAAATTAAGTAAACTTCACCCATAGAAAAAACTAAAACTACATTATATAATACATGTATCTGTTGTTTATATATATATTATTCCAAAAATAATGATAAAAATAGTACACTTTATTGTTTTGAAAAATGAACAATCCGGTATAAATTGTATACTTTTAATCATCAATAAATTGATATATGATAATTTTAAAATGCTCACTGTTGGTCATTTAGTAAATTTTAGATGTAAAAGGTAAGATGTAAAACAATAAGTCTGTGTTGTCATGCCTGTGTTAAAAGAGTATAGTTATATTTCAGACAAAATAATGATGCCAGACTGCAATATATTAAATAAAATATTTGAAAATGCGCTTTAATATATTCATTAATAGATAAGAAAATAGTAATTTTTAAAGTCATTAAAATACCTTAATTTTATTTTAATGCTAGAGATGAGTTTATTATTTCTGTCATGAACACAATATACATATAAAATTGGTACATAATGCCAAAGAGACAACAATAATATCACGTGGCAACGCTTTATGCGAAAAGAATAACATTTGTATTATGTTTGAAGGTAAAAATTTCGCAGTGTATTGTAATATGAAGCCAATTATTTTGGATGCTAATAAAATTAAATTGTTTGGTGTGCATAGTGAGGAATTTCAAATAAAATCTTGAAACAATTTTGCAGAAATTAGAGTTTTTTTGTTGTAATAAATTTACCTCTCCTAAAAAGATCATTCAAAAAAGACAAAGTTGGGAATATTGTATACACAGGAAAAGAATTAATAACATTGTTGAGTAAAGGGACAGGAAATGATGAACAACGGGTTTAGTTCTGGGGAGGAAGACTCTCGTGGAGGACATACCGATCAAACTTGTTGTCTGATTGATGACAATGAGCGGTGTCGAAATCCTGCAGGTTATGCGTCATATAGCAAACGCATACAGAAAACTGTGTCACAGAAACGTTTGAAATTAAGTAGCGATCCCACGGTAAGTAGGAAAAAGTTGAGTTAATTATGTTTTAATAACTTACAATTTGTACCAGGCTCAGCATATATATATATGTGACTATCATAAGGGTAGAATACAATCTGCTCGTACTAAACGACGCCGGAAGGACTCTGAAGAAGATAGCAATGAGACGGACACTGATATGCCTGAAGTTCCCGATCTCTATCAACTTCAAGTGAATACACTACGTCGCTACAAACGCCATTATAAAGTGCAAACAAGACCTGGTATGAAACGCGCGCAACTGGCTGATGTAAGTATTGTAAAATACATAATACAAAAAATCTCCTGATAATGTATACTTTTAGACTATAATGAAACATTTTAAAACCATACCAATAAAAGAAAAGGAAATTATTACCTATTTCGTGTACATGGTTAAATCAAATGCAAACAAATTGGATCAGAAAAATGGTATTGGCAATGACACTACTTGATTGGACTGTTTTTCAAACACAATCTGAGTACTGTGGTGCTGTAAAATACAAATACTTTACAACTACAATATATCATTTAAGTTTAAATATTCTTCCGATATTTTAAGTTAAATATTTAATGTTAACGTAAGATGCAAAATAGTGTTAAGTTTTTATAATATGATACTCTAATATAAATGCATCTTGCATCTAAAAGATATATTTAGTAAAACTACTGCTCATTTCCCAGTTAAAATACAAATTCAATAAACCGCAGAATACGATTAAAACTGTTTACCCTTAAATAAAAGCCGTGTTGCATGTAAGGTAAAATGTGATAAAGTAACTAATTTGTACAGAGTCATGAAATTTTATATCAATTAAGTCAAGTATTTCAAAAGAAATAATAAAAATGACATCGACTTTACAATACAAAACATTTGTTTGCATTAACATATCATATATCAGATCACCTGATATACGTTGAATAAATTTGACGCGTTCTTTTAAATTTATATATTTACTTTTTATTAATATTAAAGCCTAAAATTTAAATTTGAAAAATTATTTTAATATAACTGTTGTTTCCTCTTCCGAGTCACTTCCATCATCTTCTGAAAATAAAATTGTTATAATGTTATATGCGATACATAAAACATGTCCAAAATAGTATACCATTTGCTTTCTCCTTAGTTCCTTTAGTAATTTTTTGACGTAACTTGGAATATTTTGTTTCAAGGGTTTTAGTTTCACTTTTTTTCGTGGAAGTTTCGTCTGAGCTAGACACAATACATTCTATATCCGATTGATTCGATTGTAGCAAAGCTATGTCCTTTCCAAGTGAAATGACTAGGAATTTAAAGATATGAAAACGTACTTTGTGAAATTTTCAATTTAATACCTTCTTCAAGAGTAGCATTATCAACATCGCTTGATTCGTCATACATTTCACTGTCATCATCATTAGACGATTCTGAGAAATTTGTTTCCATTTTTTTAACACCTGGGGCACTATATGTTGTTAGCGTTGCAATTACATGATCCGTATTCATCACTTCTTGTAAATTTAAAGTATCACTGAAACAAACTGTTTTCTTATCGGTTCTATTTGCTAAATCAGTTTCAACAAGTGCTTTTATTTGTTCAATTATAGCTATACTTTTATCCGCAGCATTTTTTAAACATTTTACAAGAACTCGTGGGGCTACTTGTGCTGAACCACCCAGGTTAAAACAGCAAATTTCTCTATACGAATTAATTCCAAACACTAATTCGGATTGAGAAGCTCTCTCTTCCTGAAAAGTAGGATCCGCAAGAGTAATTTGTCCGTCATCAAATATGGCGTAAGTGACACAAATAGGATAGTGATGCAGTACCATTGGTATAAAATCTTTCTCAGACGCGGGATGTATGTTAACATCACCTTCGATTATGCTAACATCAGGACGCCTAAAATGAGCTAATGCAGCTACCGTACCAATGGCGCAAGCAGCTGTAAAATTAATAATGTAATAAAACTTAATGCTATAAACGTGAAAAGAAATTACCAGTCAAATTTCCATCGTGATTCAAAACATTTATATCAATTCGTAAAATCCACACGCACTCCTCTGCTTTCACACACAATGACTCTAAATCAACTGCTCCCGATTCCTTAAACGTTCGCTCGAGCATACTTTTTATTTTTAAAACTAGGCTCCCTTGACGGCCAATTTCGAACTGTGGAGAAGCCATTGGACCGATTTCCACGTTAATAAATAGAACACCTTCATTGGGTCTTGTAGCCTTTGGTACGCCTAAATCACATGATGCTTGCACTAGAACTTTGGTTTTACCTAAAGAAACCATCACACTTCCCCAATCGGCACCAAAATTAATTTTCATTTGGCGAAATTCATCAATTTTTCGACCATCAGGGCGCTGAACGAAAAGAAAAATTTGTTTTGTTTTGTTTATGTAGGAGTGTGTAGTCGTATTTACGTTATTTGCTTACCGCATTGGATTTTATTAGGTCGCAAATGAATTTGCGTTCGCGTTCTGTGTATAATGCGCAATGCAACATAATTTATTTAGATTATTAGAATTAAAGTTACTAAACTATAGACTTTCAATAAACAAATTTCAGGTTACGTTCGACCGGCACAGCAGTTCTGCTGAAAATGAGTTGCCAACGTTTTGTATTTTATGCTGACATTTAAAATTGCGCTCGCTGTGTGTAAAAGAGGTATGCAATTTTTTAGTTTAACAGCAATGTCATCTACTTTTGAGGTGTATATATTGAAACAATTGAATTAAATTTTTAGTTGCGCTTTTATATTTCTAAATTTCTTCATACATATTATACTTTGTTATTATGAATAGCAAAAATTATATTAGGGGTATTCACGATCTTTGTGCGTCGATACGAATGTCAAATAAGTAGCTGTTACAAAAACAAAAAGCATTGAAAACGCATTCGCAACATCATCGCGCTTGTAATACCAAAACGATTTGGCACTTGCGAATGCATTAATTTGGAAGACGCTGATGTAAATGATCATAATGTTTTTTTTGTGATGGGTAACACTTCCTTAATAGCTTGTGGAAACTGTTTTGTCATTATAGATGTTGGAGCTTTTCCGGATATTTGAATGGATCATATGTATTAATTACCCATTCTATTGTTGGTTGTAATAGTTTCAATGGATGTAGTTCCCTGTATATTATAGAGATTCGAAATCTACAGTATTATTACATCTTAAAAAATTAGCACTGATAAGATCTTCTAATAAATCTTGATGACTGCGAGTCTACTCTCTGTGTTTATTTTTTTTTTTTTGGATACGTATTATTTCTGGCATATTTGATTGTTTAGATAATAATTTTTTCGGCCTAGTTAGTAACTTCGTTTGTTTTTTAAGTTGGATTATATTTTTTCACCTAATACGGCATTTACATTGGCCGAAAATGGCTCATTTTGGACAAAAATCAAAAATGAGAAGCGAATGGCTCATTCTTGCATATAAAATTTCAAACTCTCATTCCCATTTCATCACATTCTTTATGAATGCGTCCCAACGACGTTCGCATGCGTTCCAAATATGTTCCAAATACAAAGGAATACATTGAACACACCCTAAATAAAGGCTCTTCATGGCATTTTGACAGTTTGAGGAAGCTGTTTTTGACATATTTACAAAAAAAGGTAAACAAATGTTTGGTGGTTGGATTTTCTTGAAAACGCTGCACCTTTTTTTAGAACTTCTACTTCCCAAAAAGTAATTAATCGAAGTT